CCACTTTTAGGTGAAAACCCATATCTTCGGATCTGCTTAACCGATTTCAACCAAATTCGGTGCATAACGTTCTTTTCATGTTTCTATGTCATAGTGCGCAAATTGGCGAAATCGGACAACCACGCCTACTTCCCATATAACACCATTTTCAATTCCATCTGATACTTTCACTTTCCACTATGCATATCAAGCAATAATGATTATATCGGGTAAAACTCTGCGTGAATAATACGTTTAATGTATGCCACCTTGTGACCAAAAATTGTCTAAATCGAACCAAAACTGTTCAAGCCCCTAAGTACTAAATATGTGGACCCTAGTGCCTATAGTTGACCTTCTACAGACAATATCAGCCAATCCACAAAGAAATCTCAAACGAGTATACCATTTGACTTTGCGAGAGTATAAAATGTTCGGTTCCATCCGAACTTAGCTTAATTGGATTTATTCTTTTTTAAAATGACACGAGCCAAACGAGCAAATATAGGTCGGCGAACGCGTAATGCAAATGATGTGACATTACTGGGATGATCACAGACTGCAGATGAACGCGCACAAGCTAATGTATCGCAACGTGAACGTAATGCACGAAATAGATCTGTTAACCCTGTACCTGTACTTGCACGGCGATCACGAATACGTCGTGCTGTTTTGGCTGAAATGATGCGTGCTGCTTTAAATTACATCAGTCAGATTGATTATAGTATGTACGGATACATTCGAACGATGGACGCAATATGTCCACATTGTGATGCTGCTAAAATAAAACGCCCGGCATATATTGTACTAACGGCAAAGTGAGATTACCAGCATTAGAAACAAGGAACAGTAGTCGATGGGCATCTAGACAAAGAATTTTCCAAACAGATGCAATTAGGAGAATATATACAGTACTTCCAAATAACGCTGAGTGTTTTTATTTGCGATTGTTATTAGTTAAAGTCAATGGCCCTAAATCATTTCAAGAATTGAGAACAGTCAACGGCCATTTGTGTCAAACATATCGTGAAGCATGTAAACTCTTGCATTTGTTGGAGGATGATGCACATTGGGATTCAACACCTCATGATGCATCTGCTTCAGCTCATCCAGAACAAATACGAATGCTATTTGCAATTATATTATCAATATATATGCCATCAAATCCCTTTGAATTTTAATTCGTATGCGTCATTATGTAAAGAAATCCTGATTTGTTGATTACCTTGGAAATGTACAACGAAACTTTGATAATAATTGACGACATGTGTCTAACGATTGCAACTAAAGCATTGTACAATTGGGTATGATTATGTTATTGCGATGTCCGTCAACAAGGCTCAAGGGCAAACACTTCACGTTGTGGTGTGGATTTGGAGGAATCATGTTTTTCACATGGCCAACTGTATGTGTCCTGTTCCAGAGTCGGTACCCCCAGTCGTTTGTTTATTCATGATCAAAACGGAAAAACAAAAAATATTTTTTATCCAAATGTTTTGGATAGCTAGCAATTATTAAATTTCTATTGTTTGAATAAATGAATTTGATATCCTAATTAATTATAATATAATAGAATTAATAGACTAACTGATAGTTATAAGACTAACTGAGTTTATGAGCCGAATAATGAATGTTTAATTCTTTCAAAACATTTTTTAATATGAAGTATTGGATCCTTGAAAGTTGCATGAGTATAAAATGTGTGGTTGCACCCGAACTTAGCCCTTTCTTACTTGTTGGTTTATATTTTTCTTTCCCTTTATTTTACTTTACTTTTTTGCTTTGTATATTAGTTTCGCGACCGGTTTGTATTTTTTGTTGGTGAAACTGTTCCGTGGTTTATGTCTGTTTGTTTAGGTGCTTTTAGACTTCGCACCCGATTTGTGTTTTTGTTTATTCTTTTTGTTGGTACTTAGGCTTAAATATGTACGTATTGAGCTAAGTAAAAACATTACAAGTAAAAAAACCCCCAATTCGTATTTGGTTGAGTGTTTTGGATACATAAGTAAGAAAAATACACAAGTAAGCATGTGATGTACTCCTTGTTGCGGTGTCCCGCTGCGGTACCCTGGTATGTACATTTCTCCTCCACTAATATGATGAAAGTAGAGTCTGATCGAATGTAATATAATATAACAAGAAATAAATATAGTTTCAAACAAGTAAGGAAGGGCTAGGTTCGGGTGCAACCGAAAATTTCATACTAGTGCAAGATGCAAGGATCAATTCCGGGGAAATACCTTCAGGTGTTGGCAAAATTTTATTTTAAAAAATGTTGCGAAATAATTCAACATTTATTGTTCGACGAAACTGAATGGTTTACGATCAAATTTGTATTCTATAAATTTATATTATTGGTGATTATATAGGGTATATTGGGGCATTGAAGATCTGGGCTGATTTCCCCAACTTTTGACATTGGTCAGGTAGATTCAATATTTTCAACAAATTTTGTAAATATAAAATTCAAACACTGGCCAAAATATTCATTTCGTTTGTTAGAATAACGAAAATCATTATATGTATTGTAGTATATGGGGGTTTGAGTGATTCGGATCCCAATATCAAATATTTCGGAATTAAATTATAGCATATATCCAATATTATACATTAAGTTAATTTCGTTACATATTTATGAGTTAAAAACTATAAACATAGGGGAAGTCTTTATAGGAGCCGATTTTACCAAGTTCATTAGGTAGCATTACTCTGACATTTCTACTTTACATTGTGAAAATAGGCGAAATCAGACAAAAACCAAGCCTACTTCCCATATAACACAATTTTAAATTCCATCTGATTCTTTTACTTTCCAGTATACAAATAAATAATCAGAATAGTACCTTTAAGGGTGTACCACCTTATGACTAAAAATTGTCCAAATCCAGCCAAAACTGTTCAAGCCCCCAGGTACCGAATATATGGACCCCTGCTCCTCTTGCGAAATTTTTATCGAAAATATGAAAAAGATAGATTATAGAAACTGAAAGAGAATCCTTATCTGATATTAATATGCCTGAGTGCCAAAAATTGGTTGAATCGGATCAATAATTCCCTTAGTATACCTCATTGAAAAATTTTTGAACTTTCAGCTGAATTTATACATAAAATATATATCAGTATGTCAGTTATCTTAATGAAATTGAAGAAGCGTGTTTTTCTAATGACAATGTGTCTTTGTGCATAAAATGGATAAAATTGTCGGAAAACTTGTCCTAGCCGCCATATAGGGTGAGTTACCCCAATGAAACTCACAGATCATCTTTTTCTGTTAATAATATTGGGTAATAGCAAAAATAGATAAAAGTGGTTCAATACTAACCCTTTCTCTCATATATGTTTATGATAAAAGATTTTCAAACTTCCGGTTATACCTCATTTATTTATTGGTGTATGCATTAATTCGTGCGGTGTTTTTACGAAAATTAAGACTTTATTGTGAAAAAATTGTTATACATTTAATGTTTAAAGTATTGCCCATCGGAAGCTATGATGTTTGCCCATCTTTCTGGCAGTTTGTGGATCCCATTCCAAAAGAACTTCTCCGGCTTGGAGGTCAAGAAGAATCAATCCAATTTCTGATACCCTGTTCTGAAGAGAAGCGTACTCCGGCGAGGGCATTCTGCATTGATCTGAACAAGTGGTAATCGGAAGGTGCTATGTCTGGGCTATAAGGCGGGTGAGGTAGAACTTCCCACCCACAGTTTTCCAAATAGTTTTTAACTGGCCTTGCAACATGTGGCCGAGCGTTGTCATGATGAAAAATTATTGATTCGTGTCTGGTCGCATATTCTGGTCATTTTTCCGCGATGGCCTTTTTCAAAGGAATCAATTGTTTTCGGTTTCGGTTTGATCGTCTGACCCGATTTCAATAGCTCATAATAGAGCACACCCTTGTGGTCCCACCAAATACATAGCATAACCTTAGCAGCATGGATATTCGGCTTTGCCGTGGATGTTGATGGTTGGTCGGGCTTCAAATACGATTTCTTGCGCTTTGGGTTATCATAATGAATCCATTTTTCATCGCCAGTGACAATCCGATGCAAAAACGACTTCTTTTGGTGGCGTTGAAGCAACATTTCCGACATGCAGAATCGACGTTCGACGTCTCTTGGCTTTAATTCATAAGGCACCCAATTTCCAAGCTTCTGGATGAATCCTAATGATTTTAATCGTCTGGAAACGGTTGCTTGATCAACTCCTAATACTTTTGCAAGTTCTTCTTGCGTCTGGCATGCATCTGCGTCGAGCAATGTCTCCAATTCTTCGTCTTGAAGTTTGTTTGGCTGTACGGGTCGTTCTCCGTCGTCTAAGTCTAAATTGCCACTTTTAAACCGTGCAAACCACTTTTGGCATGTTCGTTCGGCTAAAGCGTGGTCACCATAAACGTCCAGTAAAATACGATGGCTTTCGGCAGCACTTTTCTTCATGTTAAAATAATGAAGAAGAACTCCCCGCAAAAACACTTTATCTGGTATAAATTTCGACATTTTCAAATGAATGAAACAAATTGTTGTTCACGCTCAAACAATTTATATCTACTGAAAACGACGCGAAATGGCAGTACCTTTGAAATGAATATAGCCACAGATGAATACGACGCGAAATAATACTAGTAGAGCCCTCTCTTAGAAAACCGCACGAATTAATGTATACACCTATTTATTAATCGCGCTGGGGTTATGATCCAATTTCATCCATATTTTCTCACCCCATCTAGAGGAAAACTTTAGAGAAAGTAATAAAAACCCTGGTCGGTTCAATACCAGGGTATCCTCAGTTTTTTCGCGTAGAATACCTTGGTCCATTCAACACCGGGGTTAAAAGTGTAAAATTCGTTATAAATCGAAAAATACGTACTTTAAATTGTTGAACTTTAAATGCAAATATCTCAAAATCTATTAGTTTTCCGCGGCTCTGTAACTTTTATTGATTTGGATCCGCCCATACCTATTTTACCCCCGAAATCCTCAGATGGTGTTCTAAAGTCCACTCGAAACCCATGTGGTTTATATTGACACTGCCCAATTCATTTATATTTTTTACATTTGCACAAACTTACTAAATAATGCTAAAAATCTATTATATATAATATTTTAGTTTATAAATTTTTCATCTGTATTTATTCCTTTGTTCCAATTCTGCAATATGCCTGCAAATGTGATCCTTCATATTTTTCTATATAGAAAGTGAAATAAATTATTTTCAAATAAAAGATTATCAAAAAAAAATTAGCTTACCGCCTTTTACTGGCTTTCAAAATAAATTCTTCTCGAATCTCTCTGATTTAACGTTGTCCCTATTCAACTGGAAATTAAAGCCAATGTAATTGTGTTCGTAATCAACTGGAAAATTTTGTTTGTTTTTGGGCAATCTCTTACTTCCATCTTACTTTACGAGTGAATATCGATTCCTACCGCTGGCAATTGAATCGTCTGTTGTCATCACGGCTATTTGTATCGAATACTATCATTCCTTGTAATAGTAAGTTGAAATGTCATAAGTAGGAAATTACTTTTAAGCAGTTACATACTGAATTTTGCGAACTTTAAAGTTTTAATTACATTGAATATCTTTAAGAAAAAAAAATTTAAAAAAAAATCGCGCTGACGGAGTCAATTTAGGTTATCCATGTGAATCACTCTCCCTTTAATGAGTACCGTGGTCTTCACCTGTACAGCTCTCTACGGAGAAAAGCGTGAGCTTGTTACTAATAACTAAACTAAAACTTTTTTGTCTACCTCAAAAACTCTGTTTTGTCGAAAGGTATTTTCTCTGGCCTTGGGCGTCTCAGATCTTATTCAGTATTATCTCCTCCAGAAGGCACTGAAAAATATCAACCGGTCTCCTGTTGATACGGGAGTGGATTGACTTAGTGGAATAATGACTTCTACAGTGTCTCTTATACTCTTATCGATCGTTAAACGCCCGACCAGTTCCAGCAAAGTGCTATGACATTCTACTTAGTTATTTGATACACTATGTAAGGGTGGCGAATTTGAAATACTAATGCCAAAATTGTTGACTAGCATAGCAGAGATTGTCTGTAAGTTCAATGCTGGTACATTTTTACAGTAGATCGCTCTGGTCTTAAGTTAGATGGGCTATACAACAGCAAATTGGGAGAACTTGTCAATGTAGGTGAGGAACAATTTTTTGTCCGTAGAGAAGATATCACCAAATTCATGTTTCTTAGGGTGTTTATCGTATATAGCGCTAATATCATGTTCCGACCGACACCTAGTCACAAGATTTAGGCTGTTGAGTAGATTATCTCACTAATCTACTAAAATAAGTAATATTTTGCCATATTAAAATGACACTTGATAATCTCGTCACCGATGTGATTTCATTCTAACCTGCATTAAAACACACTGTGCGACTATGATTAAGCGCCATCTGCTTGTCGCATTTTATTTTATCACAGCTGATTTTGATGCCAAAAACTGTCAAAGTGAGACAAATGAAGAAAAAAGAAAAAAATCTAAATTTATAAAGTTAATTTTTAATTACGTTAATAAGTAAAAATGGCCAGTGAAAATCTTATAAAAAAAGAAGCCGACCGAATAGAGTTGTGGCGAAAAAAAATACCACAGATTCGAAAGAGCAGGCATATCTACATATGAAGAGATAGTGATAGAGTAGATTGAATACTGTTGGCCATAATTATACGGCCACAGAAATTAAAATAAAAATACAAAATTTCTCAAAAAAATACAGGTAGGTAATAAATTAAAATGTAAAATATGATTATTAAATATTATTTGTTATATATTTTTAGCCAAGAGAACAGAACAACAACAGTGTGGAAACATTTTGCTGCGGTTCACGAAGCAGTAAACGGCTACAAAAGATTTTGCTCGGGCGAGCTGGTGGAGGACAGCATAACGGGTAAGTTCTAAGTGTATTGGTTCCATAATCTGCCGTCTTTTTTAAATAAATATATATATAAAGTTTATGCCACCAGCTTCTATAGAATATTTAATGAAACGGCGTTTTATGGAATATTTCTCAGTCTCAGTTATTAGTTTGTTGATATTGTCTTTTATATTTATGTATATTTTCAGTTGAGATTGACAACATAGTCAATTTATGTGGGGCTGAAATCGAATGAGAATCGCCACTGCCAAATTCTGCCTGATATGGCTGTCTTCCGATACCTTTCGGCCGATGAAAAATGCCATTTTTTTACGTGTACAAATATATATGTATGGTATGTAACGGGTTATCCAAGTAGAGGTTCCTTTTTCAATAGCCTTTTTTTGACAGATCAAGTCCTGTCAAGCTATCATATTATTTTTGTTCAGCATTCTTTGGCATTTTATCATGGAAAGACCTGAGCAACGTTTACTTATCGTTTAACTTTATTACTAAAATTCTCGTTCTGTAAATAATGTGTTTCGCATGTTTCGCGTATCTTATAGTCAACATAGTCGGCCTACTGAGCGTACTACTCGCAACACCATCACCCATCTTGAGACCTCATTATTGATTGATATTCAACCGAATAGACCACTACCAGAACGCGGTGAAGAAAATATAGCGGCCGTAGCTGAGAGTGTACACGAAGACCGTGGAGAGTCGATTCGGCGCCGGTTTAGAGACCGGTGGAATCATCGGTCCATATTTCATCAAAAATGATGTCTGTGAAAACGTAACCGTCAATGGCGACCGTTATCGCGCTATGATAACCGACTATTTGACCGACTGAAATTGAATCTCGTGATCTCGGTGACATTTGGTTTCAACAAGATCGCATCAATCAACAAATTTATTGAGAAAACACTTCGGTGAGCTGATAATTTTACGTTTTGGGCCGGTCGATTGGAAACCAAGATCGTGTGATTTCTTTTTCCTGTGGGGATATGTAAAGTCTAAAGTTTATGCGGACAATCCCGCTTCTATTCAGATCTTGGAGCAAAACATCACCAGTGTCATTCGCTAGTTACCAGTCGAAATGCTCGAACGGGTCATCGAAAATTGGACTCAACGGATGGGCCATTTGAGACGTAGCCACGGCAAACAAAATAAATGCCAAGGAATGTTCTTTCGAATGATAATAAACATTCCCCATTAAACTTTAGTTTTCTGTGTTTTTATGTATGATATAGTTCGTAATATCTAAGTATGTATGTACAGCGTGCGTATTATTTTAAATTATCTGTGTTTGAGAACTGGAAACGTATGTATATGTACCATAAATATGGATCAGTTGCTGAATTCGTAGGTAGTGTTTGAGTTGTAACAATATTTCAAAGTTGAATGCAATAACTTACTGAAATATGAAACGAACGCTTGTCTTATTGCCTCTGCCCTTGGGTTAACATTTCCAGAAATGTTATGGACGTTTTCTGGCAACTGCAAAGTTTGGTTTTCGATTTGTTGTGCGGCAATCCACATTTCATTATTTTCATGATTATCCTCATTTGAAAATTTGTGCAAAATGCAGCACTCTTTAGTGACAGCTTTCGTGGTGACCATGTGGTTATCCAAGCCTTTGCCAACCCGCCTAAACCTTGCCTTTAAATAACCAAAAGCATTATTGACGACTCTTCGGCTTTTCGAGAGTGCACAGTTAAATTTTTTTTATTGTATTTAAAAGTTGATTTATACAAAATGGGTACGGTTTCAATAAAAGTTCATCAAGTTTAAGCGCAGAGTAGCCCAACAAAAAGACTGGACCATTAACTGCCGATATTTGCCTCCTCATGTCTTTAAATAAGCTATATTGTACCAACTGGCATTTCAAAAATGAACTCTCAAATATTGAAGAGTCCGTACAACGACCTGGACTACCAATGTTGTAGTACAGTAAAGCGACATCTATAATAATAAACAAATATTTAGGGGCTTAAACAAGCCTCATAAAAGAACTTATTTTGCATCTAACTATTAAAGCCAGAAGAATTGTGGAATATAAGCCTGTATGATTATAGTAGACAGAAGCATCTTCTGCTGCTCGGCGTACTCCTACGTAACATCCATCTAAAACTTAAAACAAACTTCACTGTAAAGAGTTGAACTTCTTACCAATCCTAACACTTTGAGAAACCCAATGACTCGAAACCATTTAAATACTCCCGCAATTGAATTTCGTTCATTGGAAATTTATTCAAATACAAAGGCCATAAACATCGGCAGACTTCATGGCAGAACTCAATTTGAATAGTGCAGACAGAGCTTTTGCCAATTCCAAACATATTTCCAATTATTCGGTGTTCTGCAAAAGTGCCAAGAGCGTATAAAGCAATTGCAATGCGTTTTTATAATGGAATTTCCTTCCGGTAGTAAGCGTTTAACCTCTTCAAGCCTTTCAACATAATACACAATTTATTGAGAGATTGGCGTTTCATTCAGAAGTTGCTTTTAAAAGATGCATCTGAATTCATCTAGCAATCGACTTCCCAAAACATTTGGCCACGAGTTTTATATTATATGCATTCACTAATCTAAGCACTTCAAATTTTTAGTGATAACAGGATATAACACATGTGTTGCAGTTTTACACAATCCCTTTGGCTAGTTTGGCCATCTTCAGGAAGTAGTACTCGGACAGCACCTAATTCACATTTTCCTGAGCTGATCTGTGAGCTGTATTATATTCAATGGTGCCGATTTCTCTTCATAACCCGATTATATTGACTATACGATTCACGCAGTGCCAAAACTTTGTGGCTGGAATCCTCCGAATAACTTTATCCTGTATCATTACGAGTCTATGCAAATCTCAATGGAAAGCGTTTACACTCCAAGGTGTGATAATGTACTCTAGCTCGCCCAAAAAGGATTCCCTGCAGGTAAAACCAATTGGGTGACGTCTCTTTTCCCAACAAAATAAAGCAACGCTTTGACGGGAGGCGCGCATCTTACATAACTATCTGATTTTGAAATTCGTTGTTTCAATAGTGTGGGTAAATGAGACTTCACTCTGGACCGTTTCTGTGTAAAATTCGGCCTGTTTTTTAGAATATTTTAGCATTGGATTCGTCAACGCTTGCTTTGCCCCTTTTGATCTTCGCAACAGGGTTAGACTGCGATATTGCGAGGGTGAAAGGTTAATGGTTAGTAAAAATGTTCATATTTTCAACTCTATATAGTGCTACAATTTGGCCAGTGCCCGCATAATAGCTGGTAACTCTCTTTTGTTAGTGGCGTTCTTAATTTCTCTGTCTTTCAATGTTCTTGAAATCATTGTCGACGTCCTATTTCTTCTTGGGGTAGTATAGCCCCTTTGCCATAGGCTGAAGCATTGGTCGTTACATCAAATGGTTTCATAAAATCTCGATACATAAGCATGAAATCTGATACCCAGATATTGCACAGCTTATATAGCTCCTGTCATTGAGCTTCGGTAACTGCTCTGGAATATTTCTCCATTTATGTTTATTCACTTTTCCATTTTCCTCTTTCAACATTTCCGAAATAGGCGAAGTCTTTTATGTAACACCTATAGTAACTAGCGAAGCTCAGATATGATTAAACCTCAAAAATTCTTTTGTGCTCTAGATTCTTTAAAACCATGAAGAAGATCAGCAATGAAAGCATAACTAAACTTACCGATTTTCTCAAGTAATATACAATCAATAGCCCTCTGGAAGATTCCGTCAGCATTCTTCATACTGAAAGGAAGTCTTCGAAACTCGTACTTTCCTCCATCTATCGAAAATGATTAAGATATTAGGCATGGCCTATCATTAAGTGTGCGAAAGAACATGAATAGACGCATATTGCCATTGCCTGCCTCATCAGTGCCTTTTTTATCCACAACCTATATTGGTTTATTGTACGTGGAAGCTTACTTTGAATTATGTCATTCTTATGACTGCAAAAGCCCTTTTACTATCACTGAGCATTTATATGAATGCATTCTTTATCAAAGAAGTTGCGCCTGATCAATCAATATTATTCAATCGAACGTTGATAGCTCCCACATAAGGAAAAATGTTGCCCTTAAATTGAAAATTGAGACAAAACATTTTTGCGTTATTTCGGTCGCGCCGTGTTTGAGTGAATGGTAAGTAGGGACTCTATTTATCTAACGCCCCTTAACACCTTATTTGGTTTGATAAAGTTGGGATGCGTCCGTGTTTATTAGAAATTTCACATCTGTCTCCACTACTCATTGTCTGATGACGGGCAGCAGAGATTTACCCCAAACAATTTTCCGGCATCAGAGTTATAACTGGTGCTAACGTCGTCTACAATATGCGCCTCTGCGCTAAGGGCCTCGTTGGCATACGGGATGGAATTTGATAATTTTTCAGTTTTCCTAAATTTGATACAAATTCTTTGATCAATTTTTTGGAATAATAAAAACTCGAAAACGACCCCAAACGCGTCCAAGCAAAACAGCTATCAAAAATTAACTAAACAGGTCAGCATAAGGGGTTAAGGGTAGTCAGAATTTTCAAAAACTCGTTTTGTTTTTTTTTTTGGCATTTTCTAATATTCTCTAAAATTTCAAGTTGATCTGATAATTACTTTTTGAGTTATTCGACAAATAACAAAGAGCGCTCGGGAGCAGGTAGCTAGCGGCAGCTGCAAGAAACTTTAAATTATGTATTTATTCCAACCTTTTGGAATTATTGCATTCACCACTCACTTTTCAATATTGTATCGCAACAATTGAATAAAATTAAATTATAGTATATTTAACAACCACTTAATACAACAATCACTTGCGACGCTGCATAAAAAAAATTTATAAAAATGCTTTATGTTTGACTTTACCTTTGCTCACATATATAACGCAAACTTGCTTACTGCTTAATTAAGCGTAAAGGGTTTTGTCGGAAAAATTTGTAAGTATTGAAATACTTAAATTTTGTTTATTTTTTTTTTTTAAATTATATATTTTATGTATGAATGTACATATATATTACAATAAACGATTTTTCGTAATTTGAACCCGCAACTGAAACCGGTAAATTAGACCAAATTGCCAACCGTTACCAAGGTAATAAACGTTTTTTTTGTGTTTTATTACAGTTTTTTGTACAAAATATAATCTGTAATTCGCAATGAATATACATATGTATGTGCATAAATATAAGAAATTGGGGAATATATGAATTTGCGAGTGTATATAATTACGTGTATGTACGTATACGTGTGCTTCAGTGTTTCTTCCAATTCCTGTCCTTTCCTTTGGATTTTGTGTGTGCTAGGTGGTGCTTTTTTGTGGTGTTTTTTGTTACTCCGCGCCCGAATGTATATTTGTATATGAGATGAAATTTTGTTGTTAGGATTGATTTTTGGATTATTTTCGCGCCCGTTTTGTTTTTACTGTTGTTATTTAAATGTAAATTAAAATGTAATTTAAATTTTTATCTCTCTGTTTTTTTGGTTTTTGTCACACCACTTTTTAGCCACTCTTTATTTTTTTTTATATATATGTATTTTTGTCGGAAACACAGTGTATATATGTATATAAATAACTTTTTGTATATGTGTTTAATACTCCTCAGCGCACTTTGGATGTTTTTTGTTTTTATACTCTCGCAACCTGTTGCTACAGAGTATAATAGTTTTGTTCACCTAACGGTTGTTTGTATCACCTAAAACTAATCGAGTTAGATATAGGGTTATGTATATATAAATGATCAGGATAAAGAGACGAGTTGAAATCCGGGTGACTGTCTGTACTTTCGTCCGTCCGTCCGTCTGTCCGTCTGTGCAAAACTCTAACTTGAGTAAAAATTGAGATATCTTTATGAAACTTGGTAGACATGTTTCTTGGTATCGTGAGACGGTTGGTATTGCAGATGGGCGTAATCGGACCACTGCCACGCCCACAAAACGCCATTAATCAAAAACAAATAAATTGCCATAACTAAGCTCCGCAATAATATACAAGACTGTTATTTGGTACACAGGATCACATTAAAGAGGGGCATCTGCAATTAAAATTTTTTTTAAAAAGTGGGCGTGGTCCTACCTCTAATGGGTTTAATGTGCATATCTCCTAAACCGCTAATGCTATAATAACAAAATTCACTGGAAGCAAATGTTTTTAGCACTTCTATTGGCAGTGTCAAAATAGTTGAAATCGGATGGCAACTCCGCCCACTCCCCATATAACGGTACTGTTAAAAATTTCAAAAGCGCGATAAATCAAGCACTAAACACGCCAGAGACATTAAATTTTATCTCTGGGATGGTATGAGATGACTTTATAGGAACCGCGTTCAAAACTAGACAGTGGGCGTGGCACAGC